CCACACACCAAAAGTTGTCCAAGTTGGGAAAGTTGACCAACAGTTTGGATTAGCCCGATTCAATAGATGAAGTATATCCAGCGCGTATAACTGCTTGGTAACTCATCGAAAACATTCCGAGAAAGCTGACAGTTCGAGTGGGAAGTTTGACCCCGTTCACTTTAGGGCTCATTCCATGTTCTTTCGTAAGTAATGAGTGTTTCGAAAAAATGCACATGCACTAAAAAATCTAGTCTCTGACGCAAACGAATTCGATTATCAGTTTCAAGATATCAGCATGAGAAGGTCAGTAGATTAATGACGAAAAGGGGATTGATCGCTGATCGGCTTAGGGGGGACACTTTGCACGTTCGCTGGCTTATGCTAGTTCCTGCTAAATTCCACGTCTGGTCCTGGTCAGACCTGTGGACTCTTGTCAAGCGTAAACAAGGTTCATGCTTTTGCATAGCTTTACGAGGGTTCACAGGGTCCATAAGTGGCATCCGCAGTGATCAGTGGAAACCGGTAAAGTCCTCAAAGTCCTCCGCATAGCCGAAATGCGCCGGGGATTGTATTCATGAAGAAATATTTCGGTTTCGATCGCTTGCTAAATTACCCTTTTTGTTGAAGGCTCCCACGGGACATCATCCTTGGGGATCCCCTACAGGGGTCGTATTTGATCACTAGAGGGAGGGAAGTCGTACTTGTTGGAGAAAATTTTTTAATTTCTGCTTCTGCTTTTTCACGGTACAAGGGGATCGTATGCTAGGGTCGTATGCTGGTTGTTGAGAGGGGGAAGTCGTATTTGCCTACAACTATACCCCTCCCGCTCGACAACTCGATGAGGAGGGAGTTGGGAGGGGGATTGCATCAAGCCAGCTCCTAGGAGGGAAAGGTTCTACGGACTTGACCAAATGCTCAACCGATGATGTGCCTCCAGGCTCCTCAAGAGTAGGGAATCCATAAAGAATAGGTTTTCCCTCTTGTGATCCCGTGGGTGGACCTACCTGAAAAAGCCGCTCCTTCTCAGCACCAATGGCAAAGCGCACTCACACAAGTGCCTTCGCCCGAACAATCAGCGCGTATAAGTCTTGAAGACAGTCCCCGCGCTCAAGCAATTAGTAGACCGTACTTCCTTTCTGGTCCTCAGCCTCCACTTTCGAGGTTTCAAAGTATGTAACGAGGGTGCTGCGGCCCTCGTAGTTGACAGCTCTGACGCCTCCCTAGTTGTCCCGCCCTTCAAAACTCTATTTTACAGTGTTTTGTCACTACTACTTTTTTTGTCACAAATTCTACTGTTAGATGGTGCTGGAACTGGATGAGGCGAGTGAATAATTAGTGAGTCAAGACGGCAAGATATCGCTTCGCTGGCTTCAAAACGAGTAGCTACGGAGAACCACAGTGAGGCTGCCAGGGGGTCCTTGGCTTACCATGGTTCTTTGCCCTTTTCTGCCGCGAAAAGCCACTTAGCGACAATAGATTTGTACATTGAACGCCACTATCTACACTATGCAATCGTGGGGTTTGTCTTTGAACTGCGCCCTGTTCGCACTAGAGCCTGAGGTTTTTTGACGTCACTACGTCCGCGCGAAAAAATTTTCTCATGTTTACTTGGTTCCTTTATCGCACCTGCAATTATCTGCTCTGAGAGAAGCTTCCACTACTCATCGGGCATTTCTGGTGAGGAAGAACAACCAACCTCAATAGATTGACGATTTGTGATGGCATTGATGGAATCAACTGCACGAGCACCTCCTCAACTCTGGCGCTACATTTCTTCTCAGTCACCTGAATTTAATCTTTTGTCCACAATTGTCTTTTCTTCATCTACCTATCAGCTTAAAAAATTCCTTTGCTTTCGACTAATCCCCTTATCTATGGGGAAACGGACAGAGAACGTCCAGACATGAGATCGAAGTCCGCCGTCGCTCCAAAATACATGAGAAACTTACAGTAACGTGCTCTTCCTCGTCAGTGAACTCCACATCAAGCTGAATTCGTATATCGTCGAGGAGTGCTTCGAATTGGCCTTCTCTTGTGGTCTTGTAGACCGTCGGAATATAGGCCAAGATAACGCATGCCGCCTCCATGAGTGAAAAAGCGAAATTTTGTCTCACTGAGGCGCTAAAAATAAAAAATTGGTTTTCAAAGCTTTATCAGGTTTGACAATGGAATTCAGATGGCTCACTTCTACTTCAAGCTTCGGTACCAGAAAGTCAACGATCTGAATTGAATCGACGTTGATATCCATGCCGTGATAGGAGGTTCGTATCGTATGAGGGCGATGTCGAATCGCATCGTGGCGGATCGCTAACATTACTTGCTGGAAACGTTATAGTCGAGATCTGTATACAGTTGTGTTTGTCCAACAAATAACAAGGGGTGGCTGTTATACGGCCAGTAGGGGATCTCAAAACTTATGCTTACTTACCTCCAAAGCGTAATCCAATCCAGATGGGTAAAGCCGTAAAGTGATGTCACCGGCGACATATTTCGGAGCAGTCGTCGCTAGGGAAGTGGTAGTGGTAGTGGAGATGATCTCATTGGTGTCATCTTCGCCAAGGTGTCTCTTCAGCTGCTCCTCCAATTGTTCCATTGTCCTCCTGATGGATTCGTAGGAGTGATCATCATCAAAATGATGATCACGCTTCCTCCTCACAGTAAATGCAGTAACGATCAGTAGAAAATATGCGACTTCAATAATCAAAACCCTCATCGTCTGCAATAAATGGCAATCAATAACGATCGACACCGCCTTTGAGAAGACAAACCGTTTCACAACAACTGAACAATAGCATCGAGATAGGTGTAATGGTTAAACAACACCAAAGGAAATCAGCGCCACACTTGCGTCGGCGGTCGCCGGTTGTAAATCGGGCAGACGTAAATTAGAGCTTATGACAATGTTGCTGCGACGTAATGCGACAATAAACCCGGGCCACCCCCTTACCGACTACTGCACGGGGCACGAGGCGTTGACGATTTGCGCTCTTATCGCCCACTATCGCTCCCCTATCAACTAAGAGGCAGCGGATGGGTGCTGTCGAACCGGTGTTCTTCTTCATTAATTGAATGGCTCGCTGGTCCCTTCTACCCCTCCCTTTGGCCCGTGTCACTGTGGTTCCACAATAGCTCTTAGCTACTGGTGTAGCTATCTGCCCTTCCCGATTTGACTGATCCAACGCTGTGAGGGATGGTTTTGGAGAAGAAGGTAGGGTGGTTCGTCCCATGAAAATGTTTTTCATGTCCTCGTGATGCACCCTGCCTATAAAGGTCAGGCGTTGTCATCTGGCACCATTGGAGTCACGAGATACCCATATGGCCATCTTAAGTAGACACTAGGTTTATGGACGGTTCATTGATCCTTTGGCATTGTTTACCGGCAGCTGGGGAAACCGGGAAGAAAGGAAGGTTTCCTGGCGCAATTTTACGACGGGGGGCATTTAGCACTTTCGTTGCTTCACTGGTTCCGTTTACAAGTCTCACTCTGGTGAAACCTGTGAACTCTTGGAAGCTGGAGCAAGCTCGTCAAGCCATCATGGTGAAAACCTGTCAACTCGAGAAGAGGCTGTCTATGGGTCGACACGTCGATGGGAAGTATCAAAAGTACAAAATGCCCCCCACCCCGGTCGTCAAACTGTGCCGGGTTTCCTATTGAAGGTACAGGAATTCCGTAACCTCTATG